TATTTTGGTGTTCATGATAGTGCTGCTGAGTCCTCTTCTTCCCACCCGGTCCCATGTTAGCTGCCAGCACTGTCCTTACCCTGCTCCTTGTAGCACCAGGAGAAGCAAAGAGAATCTGTAGGATTTAACCCTCTTTTGGCAAGTCTTTTCTTACACCTGAGTGGTGGATAGGCAACAGATTCAGAGTTTCTCCATACCCTGTGAACTCTTTCCATTGCTGGAAAGGTGAAGGATCTTTCTGTGGTGGTTCTTTGCTCCAGAGCCACCTGGCTCCTTGTAGGCTCCTCAGATCCTTGGGTGTGAGAGGGAAATGTGCAACAAAAGCCCTCCTCCTTTTTTTTTTTCTTTTTCCTGAGTCTTCTCTGATTCCCAAATCTAGGTAACTCCTAGTGCCTCCTTTTCTTTCTTTTTTTTTTTTTTTTTCTTTTTCCCCTAGCAAAAGAAAAACCAAGACCCAAACACTTAACATGGTGCTACTTTGGAAAGTTTACTGTGAATTGCAGCTGTAACCCTTGCCAGAATTACTGCTTAAGCTCACTTTGCTGGCAAAGTTTTATGAGCAATAGCAAAGGTGTTTGGGTTGCTTCTCTGCAGTCTTAAATTCAGCTCCTCCTTGGAAAACAATTTAGTGCAACTGCTTTGAGGCTATTTGGTGTGTTTGCTCTTATTGAACCTCTACACCGGGCAGAAGCTGATGGTGTAGGTTACAATGAAATCTTCCTTTTCAGTAGTTAGTGAGCAAATGTGTTTTTCAAGCCCCTACTGTTATTCCATGGACTACACTGTAAACTAATCTTAATTTTGTATGAAAGCCCTTTTTATCTGCAGAGGGGGATTGCAGCTAGTGTTCCAAGGAGTCAGCTTTTAAATGAGAAACTCAGCAGACTTTGCTGTTAAAAAAAAAAAAAAAAAAGCAAAACTTTTCTTCTCTCTCTGATGAGGATTAAAAGAAGTTGAAGGCAAAAGCTACACTTTGACACCATCCAGAACTGAGCAAAAGCTGGTGCTGAAGGGAAAGGAGGGAGTTGATAGATACAGGCAGAAGCTCATTTTACATCCCAGAACAACTGCCCTTCAAGTTTCCTGATAAATGACCCTGCTCAGTTGCTTTAACTGGTTGTTTCAGTACCTCTACTCTTGGGCATCTTGATTCATGACAGGAATTAAATAATTTCTGGAAATTCTAAAAAACATGCCTGCCTGCCTTGCTGCTCCTAGCCAAGATATTCTGGCTTTGTAGCTAGATATGAAATGCTGTTTCTGTAAGACACATTGCAGTCTCATTTTAGCCTCTATTTATGCAATTTGTTATATGAGAATGGATTCCTGTACCCGTAAAAACAATCTTCGATGCTTGTTTTGACCCTGAGATGCCCATCTGTGTACATAACTTGTTAAAAGATTTAGTCTGAAATGCTCTTTATCCTAGATATTTGGCAAAAAAGTATTAGTGAAGGTGCGTACCTTTAGAGATTCATTGGCGCTTGTTAACTGTTACAGCTGCTCTATGGTTTTGCTGTTTGTGAATAATACATTCCTACTGTCAATAAAAATCTTCTTATGTTGCAAGTGAAAATGAAAAACCTCGTTATAGACGTGCTTCAATACCAATACTGGGCTTTGCTGCTTGGTAGGTGGCATATTGTGTTTAAAGACCAAGGAATTGGCATCCCGTGAATTAATGTCTCCACCAGACAGCTGCCCTCCTGGCAATACAGTTCTACAATACCAGGCTGAAAGTTGTAGTCTGTTAGAATTACTGGTTAATTTGGGGAAAAATCTATGCTTTTTTCCTTTTTCGTCTTGTAGAACGTTGCACAAAAGAGATTCCGCTGAGCGGAGTACGTGTGCCCAGGAGGCTGTTTACATTTCTTGATATTAGCCTTTGAAATGATAATTAAATATCATTGGCAAAAATAAACCTCAAATCTATTTATATTTTGGTGACTTTCATCAGCTGCCAGGTAACGATGGAAGATTGTGTTCTGTGAAGGAGAGTGGAGGAGAACCTGGCTGTGGTTTGGAGAAATAGGACACTTCCAGGGGTGATTTTTGTCCCATCCTGGTTTGATACAGGTTAAAAATAATGAATTTCCAAGGTGTGCTTTGCCATCTATACCAGCTCCTTTGGGATCCATGGGCCTTGTAAACTGGCTGAATAAGAGTCAACAGCACAGTGTTTTGGTAGAAGATACCAAAGGGAGTATCAGGTTCATAAAGTAGTCCAGTAAGGCTGGATGGACTCTGCAGCCCAAGCTCAGTGGGTTTGAAGCGTGGTCCTCAGTGTCAATTTTGAGCTATTCATTCACTTCTCTGCCGAAAACCAGCACCCCTAAAGCAGAGCAGTCCAGGGACAGCAAGGACGAGCAGCCTGGGGTGACGTTGTCCTAAACTCTTGCAGATCACTGTAGGAGAGCACGTCTGTCAGAGCTCCCAGGAGACAAGAGGCTTCCTCTGCAAGAGCATCTGCCTCTTGCCATGTTGCTGCAGAAGTGAGTGATGTTGGAGATTGGTCCTTTTTTTTTTTCTTTCTGTTGCCAGTGCTAAGATTTGGGGGAGTTAGTGGGGCTAACCCATCAGGTTAAAGTATTTTAGAAATTTTGAGGGAAGGGATTGCATCTTTCCTTTTCTTGGCCTTTTGGGATTCTCATTTTGAGGTTGGCATTGTGAAATGTTGAACGATAAAAACGTCCTGCTGAGTTTCACCTGTAACTGTGGGTCTCTTGCCACCAGCATAAATTGAGACCAACCAGATTTCTTATCTGATCAGTCCCACTGTGCCAATGATTTTATGTAGTAAATATTTCCTGGGCAAAACCAAGTAGTAGGGCTGTGTTCCATCATTAGAACCAGAGAAATTTTTTCACAAGCCAAAACTTTTCAAGTAATTTCCATTGTTTGAACGTGCACTTTCTTAACTTTGAAGAACAAGATGACCAGCAGGTATAAAACACGTCAACTTGGGGAAGGCCCCAATATTTAAGTGTGTTGATTCATAATGTGAACTGCCTCTAATTTATGTATATATGCATATTTCACAACACATTTGGGTTACTTTATGCCATTCTTCTAAACACATTTTTTATATATGTGTGTATATATATATAATTTTACGTATGTATAATGCTGCTGAGTGGGGTCACAAAAGCTATACAGGTTTTGTGACATGTATTGGAGCTGAATAACTTTGTTAACGTTTCTTGAAAATCCCTCACACCAAAACAGTCTTAATCTTATAATTATTGAATCTCTTTCACAGAATGTCAGAACATAATTATGGTTCTCAAAACATTCTGGTTTAACAAGTTAGGATATCATTAGACTTCAGCTGTCTTTTACTCTGTTAACCCATTTCTTCTCCTGTTGCAAAAACAAAGCATTTCTTCTTATGTTATAACAATCTGTCAGGTTCCCAAACAGGGAGTCCTTTGAAGACCATTGTTCCTTTTTTCTGACACAGCTACAGTACGAGCATCTTTAGGTGGTCAGCAGCTCCAAGAGCAAGAACTTTAAGAAGGTGTGCTGGTTTTGGCTGGGATAGAGTAAATTTTCTTCATAGTAGCTAGTGTGGGGCTATGTTTCAGATTTCTGTTGAAAACAGTGTTAATAATACAGAGATGTTTTCGTTATTGCTGAGCAGTGCTTACAGAGAGTCAAGGCCTTTTCGGCTTCTCACACCACTCCACCAGCGAGGGGGCTGGAGGGGACACAGCCAGGACAGCTTACCCCACTGACCACAGGGATATTCCATACCATATGATGTCATGCTCAGCATATAAAGCTGGGGGAAGAAGGAAGCGAGGAACATTTGGAGTGATGGCGTTTGTCTTCCCAAGTAACCGTTACGTGTGATGGAGCCCTGCTTCCCTGGAGATGGCTGAACCCCTGCCCATGGGGAGCGGTGAATGAATTCCCTGTTTTGCTTTGCTTGTGTGGGCAGCTTCTGCTTTACCCATTAAACTGTCTTTATCTCAACCCACGAGTTTCCTCACTTTTACCCTTCCAATTCTCTCCCCCATCCCACCGTGGGGGAGTGAGCGAGCGGCTGCGTGGTGCTTAGTTGCTGGCTGGGGTTAAACCACGACAGAAGGACATAAAATACTGTAAGAAGTGAAATAACAGATGCTGGCAAAACTGTCACACAGGCAGATGTGTAAGATTGATGTCCACATGCAATTATCTAGACATAAATGTAAGACCATTCGATAAATGAAGGCTTTCCATGGATTTGCAACATTGCAGCCCTTCTTTGCAATAAACTATTGTGGGATTTTAAACAGAAGCAAAAAAATCATTGCATTAAGAATAATGGGAACTCACGAAATGCATTTATAGACAAAAGCGCCGTATGCTGATAGAGCATTGTTACATGAGGGAAAGCAAAAAATTGCACCTCCTGTGTGAAGTCAGGAAGAAGAGGAGATGATGAGCAGAGCTGTTACTTTTGCTAAACTTTTCATACAAACTCCTAGATAAGGGTAATTTTTTTCAGTATTTTAACACGTAGATTGCAATATAGGTAGAATTTTCATCTCTTTCCTCCCCCAAATGACCTCAGGAAAATATGATGCTTCCTTCTCATGGCTTACTGAAGTGAAAGGAGATAGCTTCAGTGGGTATCCATATGTGTCTTTGAACAGGGCTTCTTTTCTGTGGAATTTTATGCCAGTCCTGTTGTAACCTTTTCAGCAAAGTTATCTTCCAGAAACTGGAATGTACATAATGGAGTAAGTCCACATTCAGAAGGTGTTACAGCACTTTTAGTTCATGGCCAAAAAACTAGGTAGTAGAAGTTTTGTGAAGAAGGCAGTGCTGTTTTGGGGTTCCGTCCACTAAAAATGTATTTTGGTCATAAAACACAATGCATTTAATATTTTTTTATGATTAGTTTAAAGCTGTGGCTTTGAAGAAGACTGACTTCATTTGATGGAATAGTTGGGCATTTTGTGCTACAAACATTGCTGCAGGCTTGAAGCATGCTATGAACATTGTCTTCACAGGTGTCCTGGGGCGTCTCATCGAAGGGTTGCCCTGGAGAGAAGGAAAACGAGCAAGCTGCAAGCAGAAGCGGAGGGCGAGTGTGGTCCCGGGGGGACGGAGCAGCCTAGCAGTTTATCTCCGGACACCGATCAGGGAATAGTGCCAGCAGAGCAGAGCTTCACCTCGCCCGCCCTTCCTGCGTGGACAGATGAGCCCGGCATCGACAATTCGCCCTTTGAGGAGAGCACGGTAGCAGACAGTATGTCATCACTTATCTTCTCAAGTCTCTTTCATCAGATGTGGAAACATTTGTGGTGTCAGAGCTTGACTCTTTGCCAACTGTGAATGCGCGTCTTCATTTTCTGCTCTTTTCTCTTGATTTGCTGGAGAAATATTAGTGGGTTTCATTTATGTGCAAGTATACAGCTGGGGTAAGGTCACAAGTAGGAAGGAAAGAAATATCTCAGAGTATGTGCTAAATATCATGGTGCTGTATCATCATGTATCATATCATGGTGCAGTAGTTCATGTTAATCTACTAGTAGCGCTGGCCTTGCAGCGAGACGGAAGGAGCGTATTTTCTATAAAATTACAAAAGTTGTTTTCTAAGATGAGATTTCTTTTCCCCTCTTCCCTCTTCCCCCTGGCCCGGATCAGCAGCCTTCCCACACATGGAGTTCTGTCCTGCTCGAGCGAAAAGGCAGCTGAGTAACTCCTGCATCCGTCTGCACCGAATGAGCAGTAACTTCTCTAGCATCTGGGATTTTAGAGAGGAAGCGCTGAGCCTTACCACAGAGGAAGGTGGTCCTGTCCCCTTCCTTCTCCTCTGTATTTGCCATCTTTTAGCATCCTGCTTTTTCCTTTTTAGTTGCATCCATGTTTGCTTCAGAAATGGAGTACTTCTCTTGACCTCAGTGGCAGCTCAGTTGTGAGACCAGCTAACGCAGAGGCATGACCAAGTCATGCTCTGTGGCGTAAACCCCAAAACACGTTTTTATTATCATCATCAAACACAAGTGATCAAATTGGAAGCGAAGTGTATGAAATTTATTACAAAGGACAGGATCCAGAGGGTTCAGAATAGCCTTTTCCAATCCAGATGACCCCATTTCAGGAAGCATGGATGCTACTAAGTCATTAGAGAGCTGTTTCTAACGAGCTAGGTGTTCCAACAAGTAGTGGAACTAATCCAATTGCACTTGTTTATTTTGTTGTTAAACCATTGTCGTGTAGCCTGTCTACATTGTCCGTTGGTGATTTGCTTTATTGAAAGTGAATGAGGTATAAAGGATATTAATCATGTTTCTTTTTATACAATAATTGGCAGCAAATCAACAGCCACCTACCTTGCCTGAAGGAGAGATCACTACTATTGAAATTCATCGGTCCAATCCTTATATTGAATTAGGAATTAGCATAGTGGGTGGCAATGAAACGCCTTTGATCAACATTGTCATTCAGGAGGTTTATCGAGATGGGATCATTGCCAGGGATGGAAGACTTCTTGCTGGAGACCAAATACTGCAAGTATGGAACCTAATTACGTATTCTGTCTGATTACTTTCCATTCACTCCTTGCAAAACTGGCTGTTAAATGAGATGGGAGATTTTCCTTGTCAGACTATGTTGTGTAAATGTTAGCTTTGCAATTTTCAGTTGGAAGGCAAATTAATATTCAGAGCAGAGCCCGTTGTTCTAGCACTTTTGGCTATGATGTTTTATGTTGTTTGTTGGACCAGTCACTAGAATTATTTTTCTTCCTTAGCAACGTTTAAAATACGAGTTTACTTTTCTGGTTTTAAATGTTGTGGGACTTGGTCTTTATTTCAGCTTTATGCATGCTTTCTGAAGGAACCCAAGGTTACTTCTGACTAACAAGTTGGCATAATTTGTCCTATGTGAAAAGCAATTTGTGGATTGTAAGGCTGACTTCATCTAAACTGTTATTTTAATCTGGCTTCACTGTTACCTTCCAATAGCCTAAGCAGTTGACGTGCATCTTTCAGTATATGTAAAAGAGTCAGAGATATTCTTCACTGGCATGATTTGAAGCAAGATGCTCTAAATATTTTTCAAAAAAAGTAAACAAAGAATTAAAATTTAAGTTGGTTATGATTGAGTATGCATCTTTGTTACGGTTTTAAGTAATTAGCCACAGGCAGTGTAAAAAGATCAAATTCTATTAATTTCAGAGTTTTCATTTTATGTTAAGGGAAGAGGTTGTTTATAGGACTCTTAAGAATGGCATTGAGTTCTATATAAACAAGGCAGTCCTCCAGCTTTTTTCTGTTTTTAATCATTCCACCTGAAACAAATACAGTGCCATCATTTCAAAATTACTTCAGTAACAATGTTTGCTTTTGATCTGATAGCCTAAGATCAGTCCAAAATTAGTATCAGCCTTTTTTTTTTTCACTTTTTTGAAATCAAGCCAATAGAAGTAGCTTAAATACTGTAGTTACCCTTGGAATGAAATTAGTTTGCACTTCAGAAAATAAAGTCCCTTTTGAGAAATGTGCCTTTTTCCTCACATGGAGTGTTAGCATAGTGGCTGACCAAGGAAGTAACGCAAGAGGTTTCCAAAACATTGCCTTTTTAACAAGCAGTTGTGGACACTGATTGAATGCTGCCTAATTTATTTCAATAGTCAAGGGCTCTCTTTGATTGCCAAAATAGGGAGCTTGAGCTCCAGTGAAGCTTTGGAAATCCTTGCTGTTTGGGCAGGTGTCAATTATAGTTTCCAAAGCCGTTAAGGGGCAATAAATTGACTATAAATAGGATTTATAAGCGGCAGTGAAGCGTACCTTCCCTATCAATGTGCTGACACTGGGGCTCTCAGATGCTGGGGGGGTGTCCATCAGAGTCCTCCTGTCATGCTGAGGGAGAGGTACAGGAGGGAAAAGCCAAACTTTTTGGAAGATACAATATCTTTGTTGCTTTGAATTTACCTGTGCAGGTGCTGAGCTGTTGTATTAAAATTGCTTGGTCTCTGTCAGCTGTAATTAAGAAGGATATTTCTGAAAATGCCCTCAGAGGCTTTTATGAGCAGTAAAGGACTAAAGGAAAGCCAGAAAGGACTGGGAGGTGAAACTCAGCATTTTCTTGCCCAGTCAAACAAGAAGTATTACCCTTTCAAGATCTGAGGGAACAGCATTTAGTAACAGCTACATAAAAGCATATGTTGTCTGCAAGGTATAGATAGGTGCCTAACATTTTCAAAGTGCTCTACAAATTGTTCCTTTTTTGTGCTGGACTGTGACTGTAATTCATGTAAAACATGTCCTAATGAGAATCTCTTTCCCCAAGAAATGCTAAGGCTGTTTTTTTCTGAAATTGTGAACTGCCTTGTAGAAAGCAGAATTACATTTTATTGCATATATTCTTCTGTGCCCTTTGAATGCTTCCATATTTTATGTATTTACTTTAGCTAGCGACAGCTAAAAATAAAACTAGATTTAATTTAAGGGCTCTGACGGATGAGCCTGAGTGGATTTTGCTGGTGGCAGCTCTAAATGTTATTTCTCCTAGCTATGCCTCCTTTCCCTCTGCCCAAGGTTACAGCTTGTCTTGGGGCAGTTGCAGACCAGGACACGGCTGTGATTCGGCCTCTGTGCTTGCGGCACTGCCGGGAGCGGCGACTTCGTACTGGGCATCAGGCTGGAGGATGGAGGTGGCTCAGGGAGAGCGACCTCCTACTTGCTCCTAGCTGGAGCAGCAGCTTCTCACAGGGGTAGGGTACTGGTGGGTACAGCTGAAAATACCAGTGGCAAATTGTTTGGCATTCACCTCTCGGACCCCCTCAACTCAGATGTGTGATATAAATGTGGTGGCTGCTGCACATAGATTTCTGGGTCCTTTCTCCTCCTATTTTTTTAAGTGTTAATATGGCTAGTAGATGGTGGGAAGCTGCAAGTATATATTTTCACTTACTTAGGTTGCAGTGGAGACCATTAAAAAGCTTAGGTAAGGCAGGTCAGTATAGTCCATGTGGTGTTAGTTTCTGTCTGCTGAAATTATGGGGCAAGGGTTCCGTGACCGGGCACAATAGTATGTGCTAAGGATGAAGTTTTTAATATTAACTTTGAACCCTTCTTCCAGAACAAGGCAAATACAGGTTTTGTGCCGGTTTTTGTGGTGCTCCTGTCTTCTGCCAGATCTCATTGCTCAAGTCAATTTTTATCTTTGTAGTGCAAGAAATGACTGAAGGTTACAGATCTTTGTGTCAGTGGGCCATGTAACAAACACAATTCTTGTTTATAGGGAGGGAAAGTTTAATCTATTTTTCATTTACCACTGAATTTTGAATGATACAGGTTATAAATCTGAAACTCTGGCCTAGTTGAAGGCGGTGGAAAATCTTCTAAGTTCATGCTAAGACTTGAGAACTAGTACAACTACCACCTTCTACTGTATTAATGAACAAATTTCATTATTCATGGCTATTATTTTATAGCTTTAAGTGACGCTGGGCTTGACACTGAAAGCACATGCAAAGTTCTTGTCCTAGAGAACAAACAACGTGAAAAATAATGAAGACAGGTGTAGGAGACCAGGAGAACAAAAACCCTGAACTATGATGACAGAAGGTGTTTCTGTTAGAGAGATGTTGTCACCTCTGGGAAAAGGCCTCAAGTTGCACCAGGGAAGGTTTAGATTGGATAGTAGGAAAAATTTCTTCATCAAAAGGGTTGTCAAGCATTGGAACAGGCTGCCCGGGGAAGTGGTTGAGTCACCATCCTGGAGGTATTCAAAAGATGTGTAGATGTAGCTTAGGGACCTGGTTTAGTGGTGGACTTGGCAGTGCTAAGTTAATGTTTGGACTTGATGATCTTAGGGGTCTTTTCCAGCCTAAAAATAGGTTTGTAGATTGACCAGCCAAAACGGGTTTGCAGAAGAGGATGGAAGGCTGAGAGAGGAAGCCTGGTAGGGTCAGATACGTAGGTTGCTACAGTGATACGTAGGTTGGTTTTGCAGTGAGATCTGAATTTAGTTTGGAAAGGACTTTATTTCTATAACCAGGAACAATTAAGCATGTGAACATAATTCTGATTATTTTGTTGTTGTTGTTGTTGACTTGCAGGTCAATAGCTTTGACATAAGCAACGTGTCTCACAACCACGCTCGAGCTGTGCTTTCCCAGCCTTGCTCGGTGTTGCACCTCACCGTGCTGAGAGAGAGGCGGTTCGGCAGCCGCACACACAACCACGTGGACGCCACCAGCTCCTTGCGGGAAGACAGCTTTCAAGTGACGCTGCATAAACGTGACTCCAGCGAGCAGCTTGGCATTAAACTTGTACGCAGAACAGATGAGCCAGGAGTTTTCATTCTTGATCTTTTGGAAGGGGGGTTGGCTGCCCAAGACGGCAGGCTCTGCAGCAATGACCGTGTACTTGCGATCAATGGGCATGACTTGAAGCACGGGACACCCGAGCTTGCTGCTCAGGTTATACAGGTAATTTGCCTTCCCTGCCTGAGTCCTTAGCTCAGCTTTATTTCTTGGGCGAAACCTGGGGTAGAGTCTGTCCCGAACAGAATAGCTTGTGTAATGCCTAAAAGCCCACAGCGTTGCAATTCACTGTGATTTATGTTCTGGAAATAACAGTGCAAAACAAGGTCTGCTTTGGCACCTAGCAGATGAACTTCACTTACACGAAAAGTGTGTTAGTCTTCCCTGGCATACAGCCTGAAGTTTAGAAGTGTGCTCATGTGAGCAAGGAGGGTACTGTGTAACCTGTTGCTTAGCAGAAAAAAATGAGGATGATTATTGTATTTATGTATGTACTGTAGTTTTAATCTCTCAGTAAGCTCTATAAAAGTGGGCTTTGTTTTGTATTAATTTACCTGTGCATGGAATTGGGATTAAAACAGGAAACTGATTGTCAGACTTTGTAGAGGCAACAGGTGGCAGCTGGGAGGAAAAAGAATAGGTCTTCCATGAGTCCTGTGCAGTAAAACTAATTTTCTGAGTGTACAGGAAAGGGCTATTCCAAATGACTGGCTGTGCTCTGGACACAAATATTACCCAAAGTTTGATGGAGTCTGACATATGAACTTTCCCTGTTCCCACAGGAAAACCTTTACTCCAGGCCTTTCTCCCAGTCTGTAAGGAAACAGCTGCAGCACGTTGCTGCTTCCTG